TGGGGGTGGTGGAAGACAGACCAGAATGCACGGTGACTCTGCCAGAGTTTGGGAAGCGTGCATGGTGTTGGAGCAACCTAGCTGTATGAACAGGCTCTGGGAGTTTGAGAACAGCGTGCAGTGAGACTACAGCAAGGCAGTCATCTGGAGGTGGGGGTTGCAACTGTGTCTGGCGAGTGGGCTCGAGGTATGAGCTATTGGAGCAAGCTTCTGGAAAAGTGATCTTGGAATTGAGGCAGGGGTGGGGTGCATGTTGAGGATGGAGAGAAAGAGATTGGGCGTAAAGGGGAACATGTGGAAATGGGGTCAAGTAGAAATGTATAAAGTTGGAACGTAACAAGGCATTCATGCAATAGGTTAGCCAGCATGGAAAGAAATGGAGCGAGGGGTCTGTATGTCTCAACTCTGGAATTCCTCACCTAGACCCCCTTGAACACTCTTGCTCCAAGACACTACTCAACCCAATCTTTTGGTTTTGACCTATACTTGTATAGGACTTCGAGCATTCTGAAATAAAATTGGATGCCGTTTGCTACGTATGAAAGTGATGTAGTATATTAGAAGGAATGTCACTTCAAGTTGCTGTTGTACCTGTGAAGGAAAGGGCCTGTGTCCATAAGCACTGGATGAGGGGAAGACCCAGACTGAGCACTGTGTGCCTCTCAGCTGGCCAGAGGTCCCCCTCGATTCTCAGGCTATCTGGCAGAAAGATGTCTTCGAGGGCAGTAGCCCCCATCTAAATGATAACGACAGGTCAGAAAGGGGGCAGAAGCCTGAGAAGCAGATAGGGAAAGCTTCTTGGCCTGTTTTATACTTGTTCAGCGTTAGACTTGGAACTGCAGGAGTCAGAGATTGGTAACGCTGCAAGGAGTGTTCTTGAAATAAAACTTCTCAGCCTGCGTTTGGTATACAATTCCTTAATTGCACCAAACATTCAATGGCCAGATTGGAGGTTTGTTGAGGGAAGAGTTTGGGTTTTTTTTTTTAAGTGTGCCTGGATGATCTACGCTCTATTGCAGCTACAATCCAGTGACCCAGAGGAGAGCACTGAATCCTCACATGGATCCTTCATGATACCCCTCACCCCCCCTCCGTGTTTTGAGGGCTAACTAAGGCCTCTGTTTAGCAATGAGATGTGCTGAGACAGTGACCATAAGCCACAGGAGATTAATTAGACCATTCTGTCCATCGAGTCTGCTCAGCCATTCTGTGAAATTGTGGCTGATCGTAATAATCCTCAACTGCCACTTTCCTGCTTTATCTCCATAACCCTTTGGTTCCCTTACTGATTAAAAATTTATCTCTGCCTTGAATATAGTCAACATCCCAGCCTCGACAGCCCTCTAGAAAAGAATTCCACAGCTTCACTACCCTCCAGTTCCTCCCCATCTCTGTCCCTACTGGAAGACTCCTTACTCTCGGATTATGCCCTCTGAGCTGAGATTCTTGCCCAAAGGGGAAATAAACTCTCTTCATCTATCAGCAGTGCCTTTGTTTTTGAAGTTGTTTTCAAAGCCTCTGTGGTTTCACCCTTCCCGCTCATCTCCTACAGTCCTCCGATCCCTGCACTCCTCCAATAATGGCTGCCTGGTTCATCTTTTACATTTAATTGTTCCTCCATTGGTGACCTCACTGGCTTTCGGTGAAGTGCTGGAATTAACTCTCACTCCTGAAAACACTGTCGCCGAGGGCTTAAGCTGAAGCCTTATCAACCACCGCCCTCTCCTGACTACCGTTCCTGCTCCAACCGTGCAATTAGGCCAGTGGAGCAGAAATCAGCAGCTCTTCAGATGATATGGGGAGGAAGTGAGGCCTTGTCTGCAGCAACTCGAGTGGTTCGCTGCCTGTATCAGTGAGAGAGTGGGGTGGGTGTGGGTTTTTTGTGGTGACAGATCAAATGAACAACGTGCTTCAGTTGCCACATTTGTAATAATGTGCCTGGGAAAAAGACCTGGGTTTGGAATCCAGCCAAGCAGCGTGAGATCGCCCCTCAAAAAGGTTTTCACCATGACAATGCCCCTAGTGATGAATGGCTGCAGTTAATGGTTTTCCTCCACGATGTCTTGTGGTTTTGAAGGCCTCCCAAGGTATGGCAGCTCCTCTGGTGTGGTTTGTGGGGCTGTTTTATGCTGCAGGCTCCTGTACAGTCAGAACTGCAGAAGTCCTGGCCTGCTGAGCTATGGGTGTGACTTGTCTCAGAACCAGAGCTTGCTCTATAAATGTTACAGGTTTTTGTGATGAATGAGAAATGCTAATGATTACAACGATTTAGCTTCTAGGCTCTTGGGCACTCCATCCGGTTTTCCACCTTCCCTGCAGCTGCTGAGCCCTTCTCCCTTTTCCTAGATGCATTGCCTCTCCATCAAATAGCTGCTTCTTGCAGTTGTGCCTAGAAGTAAGCATGAGCATTTCAGTGGAGTCCCACTATCTGCATCTGCGTTGACAGGATTCACTGGTTGAGATCCTGGCTGTTATTTGTCACTCTCCACCACAGTTGCGTTGCCAAGCTTTTCGGATTTTATTGGACTCCAGGAATTAGAGATTAATCTCTGTGCTTTGGCAGCAGTAACAAAAATATTCTGGGGATAAAATATCATTGGGTCAATTAAATTCTCCACACGCCTCTCATTATTAGCTGTGTAAACGTTGGAGGTGAGGTAGTGAACAGTGACAAGTCAATTTTGAATAGGGGACAAGAATCCAATGGAGTTTTTGAGAATTGGACTGATTGCATGGCTTTGGGATTGGGATTGCATGGCTTTGAGGGTGGGAAGTGGTTCAGTGTAAAAATGTTGGCTGGGCAAATGGCTGGCATGTGGCGTCATGCAGGTAGAAGTGTGAAGTTTTGATCTTCAGGAATGCGTCCATCAGCTGGCAAGGCAAGGCAAGCTAAGGATACAACTGTCATTACTTGGAGTGGGGAATTTCAAGACTAGGGTGCATATTTTACGGTGAGACGGGAAAGATTTTTTTAAGAAAAGACATGAGGTGCCTTTTTTTTTTCAAGTGGTTCGTGAACTTCCAGAGGTGGTGATGGATGCAGGTACCGGTGCAATGTTTAAATGATATTAAATAAGTAAATGAATAGGAAATATTTGGAGGGATATGGGTCCAGCGTAGGCAGGTGGGGCTAGTTTATCATAGTTTAGTTTGGGATTATGGCCTGCTTGGACCAAAGGGTCTGTTTCTGTGCTGGTTGACCCTATGACTACTTTGTGCCTTGTGGGTGGTGCATTTCCCTGATGAGCCTTTGCAGGAATTTGCTGCTTTAATGAGGCTGTAGGACCTGTTTCTGGATTAGGTGGAGGAGGGTGGGTGCTCTGGTCACTGTGTTTGACCCTCATTCATTTCACTCCCTGCCTTTCAATCTTGTTTCTGTGATTGTGTTTTCATGTCGTTTAGCTGGGCCCGCATATTGTCACTTGAGATAAGATTGTTGCCATTCAGCAGAATATAAATATTATCACTTTGTATAATTAAAGTGCATTTTTTTTAAAAAATTACAGTAGTATGCATAACTAAACTGGGTCTCCTCTTTGAATAGTATACACATTTCAGAATGTTCAAGGCCATTCATTTGAAAGGAGACTTGCATTTAAGTAGCACCTTTCATGACTTCTGGGTGCTTAAATGCTTTAAAAAAGATGAATCACTACTTCTGTAAGTTCATCTTGGCTGCATCGTAAGGGATGGGACACTTTTTTAACAAATTGACTAAGGGGTATTTATTAGTCAAGACACTGAAGAATTTTGCTGCTTATGTTTTGAAGAAGTGTTGTGCAGTCTCTCTATTAGCCACCTAAAGAGGCAAGTGGGGCTCTGGTTATGTCTCCCCTCCACCAGTGCAGCCCTCATGGCTACATTGATTTATATGTCTGTCTATAGAGTGTGGTTTAATATCCATGGCCCCACCTTGTTAGTATCTAACTGCCTTTTAATGCGATGCTAAATACTTGGGTGTTAAAGATGGGAAGGTGAACTGGTGTTGAGAATTCGTCCATTGCTTGTATTAAAAGGTATATAAAGAAGAATGGGTGACAATGGATCAGTAGTTAGTACCACTGCCTCATAGTACTAGGGACCCGCTTCGATACCACTGTTGGGTGACTGTCTGAGTGGCGTTTGCATGTTCTCCCTGTGTCCGTGTGGGTTTCCTCAGTGCTCTGGTTTCCTCCCACAGTCCAAAAATGTGCAGGTTAAGGGAATGGGCAATTTAGCATAGCCAGTAGTGTCCAAGGATGTGCAGGCTAGGGATAGGGTTGGTGTGAGCTCGATGGGCTGAGTGGCCTGCTTCCACACTGTAGGGGTTTTATGGTTCTATAAAGAGCCTTCTGGAAGGAAGGATAGTGAATTTGAATGGAATAGCAAACTGTGTGAATAAGTAAAGAAGCTCTATCAAATACTCCAAATATAGATATTTGTTCATCCACATGTTCAAAACTGTTACTACACCTCTCTGGAGTAGGGGAGACTTGAGCCAGGCTCTCTCGGGTTAGCAGTAGGAATACTACCACTGCATCCCAAAAATCCTAAGGGCCAGTAGGCTTGGAGCCCATCTAACACCTAGCTCTGCCACCCACAGTATCTCTTAACCAGTAAAAATTTTTGAAGCATTGACTTGCATAAACACATTTTGGAGTTGCCTGCAAACTTGGTGTGTCCCAAGTTTGTGGTAGTTGTACAACTGACTCCTGAACCAATCCCTTAGGCAGAAATTCCTGCATGTGGTTCTCGTCCCTATCTTGTCTCTACTTTGAAAGTGGTTGGAATTATGTCTGTCTGCCTCTCATAGTTGAATATTTGCTATCTAGCATCTTGTTGAAGAATAGATGTGTGGGATACGAAGAGGTGGGTGGCAGAGCGAGCCTTTTTTAAAAACAGGGCTGTCTTCTGATTTTTTTGAGGCTGGCATGGGAGCAGAATAACTTTAGGAAATTTTAAAAATGTAGCCTTCTGTAAGAGCTGAAGTCAAATCTCGATCCTTTTTATTCCCCCTCCAGGCAAAACGCAAACTGGACCTGGAAGACAGTGGGCATCAGTATTTACCAGAATTTCGAACTCCCAAAGGCAAAGGCAAAATGCCTGCCAGGATACCAAGTCCGAAAAGTAAGAGTTTGTCATTGTACTGTGTCAAGGTGAAAAATGGAGGAGTTTCCAGGTTCTGTGCAGCTGATTGTGGAATTGAGCTCCTTTTTAAGTTGATCGGATCTGGGTTTGGGGGAAACTGAGATTTAGGACTTATTTGTAGCTTCTGTTCTCCCCACTCTACCTCATCAAGCGAAGAGAGAGCCAACAGTAATCGTCTGGGTTTCCAGCTGTTGATCACTGGACCTCGCTTCCCGTTTTGAAAGAGCTGGGCTGAAGAGATTTTATAAGGAGCTGTGTGAATATGCTACAACTGTTCACAGTCTAAAACTGCTGAATGAGGCCAACTGGAGCTAGCCAAGCCACACTCTGCTGGGGCCTATTGCTTTTCAGGTGAAGACAGAGGAATAGAGTTGAGAGGGGTTATCCCATCCTGCCCCAGCTTTCCGCAATTCGCTCGGCTGTCTGTAACCGATGGTCATCCCCACTAGGATCATCTACACACAGTAATTCATCCTAAAATAGACCAGGGCAATTTCTAGATAAGTGTGGAGCTGGAGGAACACAGCAGGCC